GGCAGATGCAGGACTCAGGGGTCATCAAGGGGCCTTTCGGTCTCCTTGAGGAAAGCCTACTGACCCTGGGGTTGTCCGAAGAGGGGCGCCCGGTGCCTCTCGTTAGAAGAACTCAGGCTGCCCGGGGGGATGGGGAGGCAGGGCTGTGGGCCGAGGGGCTAGCTAGGGGTGTCGAGGGTGCCCTGGTCACGGGGAAGCCCAGGGAGCCGCTCAGCAGGACTCACACTGCCGCGTAGAGCCCTCCACAGGCCGAGTGGTAGAAGCCCCGCACTATGGTGTGCAGGAGAAAGGTCACAAACTGGAAAAGAAGGAGAGTGAAGAGGTTAGGGCAGGCGGGCAGCAGGGAGGCGGCGAGCTGAAGAGGGGTCAGGCCCTCCGCGAGCCTCGGGGCCAGGCGACTGGCCCCCCTACTTTCTGATCCTCTAGGAACTTCTGGGAGAGCCCCACAATGTCAGGCCCAGACAGTGAGAAGTACACTCCGGAGCCCCGTGAGCTGCGCCTTCGGGGCACTCCTGGGCGGTGGGTGGGGGCGACGGAGTACCTGGAGGTGCAAGTTGTTGATGAGGCAGGTGATGCCGAAGCCCACGAGCAGCAGGTTGGTCAGGGTGAAGGCGTTGATGGCGTTGGTGAGCTTCTGGATCTTGCTGTAGCGTGGCCTGGCCGACTTGGTGGCAACCCCATCCCTGGGGAGGACAGGCCACGGCCGTCACCGGCACTGCCTCTGCCTCCCTGCCGCTCTGGCCCCGCCCCTCTGGCTGGCAGCATGAGGTGGCTGCCCGGCCAGGGGGTGACCCACGGGGCGCAGCAGACCTCTCTTGTCCTGCCTGCTGCTCCCCTCAGCACTGTGTTCCAATCAGTCCCCTGTTCTGCTCCCCACTCTCTGGTGAATCCTCTCACCACCCCCACCTCTGGCCTGTACCCCAGTTCTTATATGCATAAATACATAAATCCTTTAAAAAAAAACTTTCCTAAAAATAAATAAAAAGAAGAGCACTGACTCCTTGCTGGCACACCCTGCACGGTCACCTGGCATCTCCACGGGCAGCGCTCTCCTTGGGGACGTCCACGCAGTCCTTGATCCGCCAGTCCATGATATAGCCGATGAGGGGGCAGGTGAGAAGGCACAGCAGCTGCATGGCCCCGAAAATGGAGGAGTAGAACCCCACTGCAGGAGGGGAAGAGACGCTGGGCCAGGAGCAGGTGGGGGGGGTGCCGGCACCAGGGGGCACAGGCCACTTCTGGGGGAGGCACGGGAGCACCCAATGTGCCTCCCCCGGCCCCAGATTCTGAGGTCTCCCAAGTGCCCAGGATCTGAAAGGTGAATCCAGTGGAAGGGTGCACGGGGGTCAGGGCCCCAGTTTTCTTGCCCCTACCTGTCTCTCTTGCCTTTTGTCTCAGGTCAGCCGTCTCTGCGGGGGGAAGCCAGGGTGAGAGCGCTCACAGGGTGGCCCGGACCCCCTCCTCCGCTGCAGCCCGGCAGCCTCACCATGCTCCTGGCTGTGCAGCACGACGTACTCCAGCATCTTGTTCATGGCCGCCGTGTAGAAGATGACCCGCAGCTGCGTCATGCCCATGGTGAGGAGGCTCCACAGGAAAATGGGGGAGCAGAGGCTCTTGCGGAAGGGGTCAGACTCTGGGGAGACAGCGGGGTGTGCCCCTGAGCCCCCATTTCCCTCTGCCTGTCCCGGCTCGGTGGCCCTGAAGGGTGGCGCTCCTCACCTTTGGAGAGGGGCTGGTTTCATTAAAATGAGGGCTCACGGTGGCGCCCCAGCTTAAAGCGCATCGCCTGGAGCTGTCCAGTCACTACAGCTCAAGCTCAATTCCTGGCCAGGGAGCTGATCCCCTGGCACGGCAGACCTCTCCCGTCCTGCTCACTGCTCCCCTCAGCAGTGTGTTTCAGCAGATCCACCTGTTCTGCTCCTCTCTGTCCCTGGTGAATCTCTCACCCGTACCTCTGGCATGTACCCCAGTTCTTGTATGCATACATCAATCTCTCTTTTTATTAAAGAAACGAGGGGTTCAGACTCCCTGGCTGCCAGCTTCTTGCCCAGCTCTGCAGCGGAACATGTCTGGGTGGCTCTGGCAGCACCCCCGCACGGGGTCCCGCTAACTCTGTGCTGTGTATGAACCTCCTTGTCCCACTGAATCAGCTCCCCACCAAGTCGGTCAGCACCACATTCAGACAGGAAGCTGCCATGCAGGGAGAAAGCCCAGACACTGGCCCAGCTCTGCGGCCGGAGGCTTGGCCGGCCCCAGGCAGGACGCCAGGGCTGCCCGCTGCCCGCTGCCCCAGGACCGCAGCCCGCGCTGCCGGGATCCGCGAAGTCCACCTTCACACAGAGCTGCCTGTCGTGGCCTCACTCAGTCCTCCCCACAAGCCTCCCCGGCAGGTGGATGTTACCCGGGCAAGAGTTGAGGAATGTGAGGGCTGGCCAGCTGGCCTGGCCAGCCTCAGAGGAGCGAATGTAAACCCCCTCCCCACACCAGAGCAGGGGGCCTTCCACTTGTCTCCCTCCGCCGGCCCAGGGCAGTGCAGTCCCGGCGGTGGCCAGCAGGGGGAACTGGCCGGCCAGGTGTGGGAGAGCCCTGCAGGGTCTGATCGCCCCGCAGAGATTGCAGGGAGCCCAGCAGAAACCAGCTGGCCCACAGGCCTGGAGACCCTGCCCCATTCTGGAAGCTCTTTCCCCCTCCTCCCGGGAATCTAGCAGAGTTCTCAGAGCTCTGGTTGTCCTCCCCACCAAAGCTGTAGGTGAGGATCATGCTCACCCACATCACCGGGTGCTCTGGGGACCCATGAGGGGAAAGAGTGAGCACCCAGCAGGCACTAAGCATGAGGACCCACCTCCCTGGCCCCACGCCTGGCACCTGGACCAAGACACTCACTCTCAGGGGAATTTTCTGAGGTGCCTTGTATATCCTGGGACGAGATGAAGGCGTCAGCCCCCTCCTCCAAGCTGGGGGCCTTCTGGCTCAGCCGCTGGCCCACAGTGGTCACATGGGTGTAGAAGCGGTCTCCTGTCACCTTGTGGTCCAGGGCTAGCCCGCTGAGCTTGATCTTCTTCCTGCCAGAGGCCAGGCCATGTGGGACCGGCCACACTGGGCCCACCCTCAACAGCCTACTTCCTGGAGCTGCCGGGGGCCGGGGCTGGGGGGTCGAGCACCCTAGACACAGCACTGACAGCCCCACTGATAAGCTTCCCGCCAAGCATAGGGCTACGTCTGCCGTCAGGGCCCAGCCCAGGGCCCAGCTTATCACACAGCCCAGGAAGGCTGTTGCCATGGAGGCAGCAGTAAGAACTCAGGCTCAGGTTAGAGAGCCTGCTGCCACCCTCGGCTTCACCCCCTCTCAGTGCTCCAACCTTAGGGGGCCACTGCCCCCTGTGGCTTTGTTATCCATGGGGTTAGTAACAGAATCCACATGGGCTATTGGAGAGTATGAGACCAGCACGGAGCCTGGCAGAGTGGACACCGAGTCAATGTCAGCTCTTTGACTATCACCTTATCTGCTGGGCAGTGCGGCACTAGCCCCTGGCCCAGCTGCGCTGAGTCGAGAAAAGCTGAGGCTCCGGATGCCCCACAAAGGGAGGGGTATCTGAGCCCCTCATGTCCCTCTTCTGGATCCATATGGCACACGGCGCTATTGCTGGGGTTCCCCTCCTCTAAGCCGATCCTCAGAATCAGGTGAGGATAATATTAAGTCACCAGGTCTGATTGCCCGTTTTAGCCAGGTCTATCGAGATCACCTGAGGTGGGCAGTTTCGGATGAAAGCACAGGCCCAAGCTCAGGTGATCTGCAAATCCCGGTCTCTGACTCCGAAGCACCCCTCAGCCCTGGTCTTCCCTTCCCCCCCATGGAGTGAGTCCCATCCCCGTCCCGACCCCCCACGGAGCCTCTCACGTGTAGTTGGCTTCCTCGGGAGCAGGAAAGGCCTCGCTGGGCCAGTTGAGGGCACAGTTCAGGAAGATGAGGCAAGCCAGGCCAGACCAGGTGAACATGATGATGGTAAAGGACACGCCGGCATCGTAGATCAGCTGCGGGGGAAGGAGGCCGGCCCGTGGGGAGGCCGCTTGGCCCAGACCTGCCTCTTCCAGCCCCGGGGAGAGCCCATTCCTCATACCCAGTGTATAGATGAGGTAGCCAAGGCCAGAAACTAAGTCAGACCCAGGAGACCCCATCCTCTTCCACCAAAATAAGTGAAACGGTTCCCATGGGGCCGAACTTTCTGGCTATAAGCTCGCAGCATCTTTGAGATCTAAATTATTGTGGTTGTTTGTATTATTTTATTTTACACCAGTCTTCATTTTGTGCATTTTTTCATCTCAGTTGTAATCCTCACGGGCTTCCACCATCAATTCACCCATGTGCCATTACCACGGTCCTGTGTACTCTTCCCACCCGTGTTATTTTTAATAAGAAAATTTTGCTGATTAAAACCATATTTCCCTGGCTCTCCCTGTGGCACAACGGGTTAAAGCACGGCATTATGAAGGTCTCTGAAGTCACTACAGCATGAGTTTGATTCCTGGCTTGGTGGGGGTGCCACATGGCGTGGCAGACCTCTCCTGACCCGCCCGCTGCTCCCCTCAGCAGCGTGTTTCCATAGATCTGCCTGTTCTGCTCCCCACTCTGTCGCTGGTGAAGCCTCTCACCCACCACACCTCTGGCCTGTACCCCAGTTCTGTAAGCATAAATAAATCTTTTTTATAAATCATATTGTCCTGGCAATGTTTTAATAATTGTTCTTAAAAGGGCAAACTTTGCCTGACTCCGCATGCATTCCCTGCCCCCCATACACAAAATGTCATTTCACTTTATGTACAAAAGAGGAAAATGAATGCTTCGGTCACTGTGTTTATCCTGCCCCTTCCTGGCAGGTTCCCTGGGGGAAAGACAAACCCAATCTGAGAAGCCTTATCTCACTTTCCACAGGTGCGCCCAGGTGCAACAGCTTTGGGGGAGTGTGCAACTCTCTGCCCAAGGCCTCCTAGTGCCAGGACAGCTTGGCTTCTGTGCCAGTGCACCAGACCCCATACTGGGGGAAGCCAGGGACTTGCAGGCAATGTCTTCCCTGTGGGCCTCCTTGCTGCCCTGTGCCCTGCCTCCGGGCCCAGCTCAGAGTTCCTCTGCTGTCTAAGACTTCTGCTCCTCCTCAGCTTGAGGCTCAGGCTCTTTCTTCCCAGGGGCCAAGAGTGAGATTTGACTCCCCAAACCCCGTTCCCTTGGTTGAAGAGAAGGGGGACTGCCTCTGCCTAGCCAACGATGGTCACCCCCACCAAAGCCTTTGGGAGCAGGGAGCAAGGGCCCTGAAACTAGCAATGAACTGCCCAGGTGGAAATGGGGGACAGGCTGATCCACTGAGAAGGCACTCTGATAGGTCTCCATGCCGGAGCGAGAAAAGGAGGCCAAGAGCTTGCCCAGAGCAGGCCTGCAGGCTGTGAGTTCACCACACTGCCCTGCAGGAACCCAAACCCCCATCACTCAACTTCTCCAAGGCAGGGGCCAGGCAGCTGGGGAGGTCAGAGAGTTGAGCCTTGAAGGCATGCAGAGGTTTGGGTCTGATTCTGTAGGCAGAGCGAGTGTGTGAGCCAGCCCTCCACTTAAGATCGTCTGGAAGCCACACGAGTGACAACTCAGAGGGAAAAGATCAGAGGCAGGAGAGCAGCTACGAAAACTTGCACTGACCAGCAAGGGGATGAAGAGCCAGCAAGGGCCGGTGTAAAGGAACTGTGGGGAGTGGAGGCCACCCTCCGCTCAGCAGCTGCGCTCTGACCCTTCCCATGAAGCCTCAGCACTTCTCCCAGCCAGGGTGGAGCCTGAGCTTGGCCTCTCCGGCAGGAAATGGGTCACCAGACATACCAGCCACTACCCGCACAGCCCCACGACCCTCCCCAGCAAAGTGTACCTTGACTCCCGGGAAGGTGATGGCAGAAGAGGCATAGGAGCCGATCATGAGGGCCATGAAGGTGGAGCGCAGGTTCCCAAACATGTTGGGCAGCTGAGGAAGAAGAGCAGTGGTGAGCAGGAGACCTGACGCCCGCCCAGAGCTCCCCTTTCTCAGCCCACCTGAGGAAAAGGGGCAGGATGAAGCCCAGCAGTCCCGAGTGAGGAGACAGGAGGTTCTGAGAAGTCAGTGGAGGCTGCTCTAGCAACTGCTGTGGACCCCCAACACTTCAGCATCTACAAGGCCTCCAGGAGTGCTCGCCAAGAGAAACTGTCCGCTTTGCTTGACCTCAGGATGTCCCAAGTTAGTTATTTACAGACTGCCTTTATCAGAGGATGTCTTTTGTAACCCCTTGTAGTTTTCTGAAACTATTCTAGTGCAACTCATTTGACAGATGAGAACGTTGAGAACCAGAGAGAAAGAAGTGTGCTCAAGTTCACAGTGCCCGCGGCACCTCCCTCGCCTGCTCTGGCCACCCTGGGCCGTGGGCACGGCTGACTGTGTAACTGTGCCCCTTCACCCTCCCGGGGGCCCTAAAAGTTGCAGTCCAGTTTCTGCTGAGCCACGTCAAGTCCTGGGAAGGACCCGGGAAGTAAGGTGGGACACAGGGAGGGACGGGGTGTCCAGGTGCCCAGGTGAGGTGGCCCCACAGAACTCCCACCGGTAGCGAATTCATTGATCCTATGTTCTGCTCACTGACCTCAGCCAGCCCTCAGGGGAGGGGAAAGCAAAGTCACACTGCCCTTGGTGTACACTCTCCTCGGGCCCTACCATCCTCCCAGGACGGTGAATCCATAAGACCCTAGATGCCACACACAGCTAAAATCCTCTCCCCAGAGGGCAAAGCCCATCCAAAAATTGACCTCAAATTGCTCCGCACAGGCAGGTGGATAAAGAGAGAACAGAGTCCCCCACTGACCTTCCAGCGGCCCTGAAGTGGGGGTGGTGCCAAGCTGACCCCCTACTCCGGGCGGTTTCGCTGGCATCATGCATCTGCGAGGCACGCTGCCAAGGACGCCAGGAAGGGTGCCAGGACCCAAGACCCGGATAGCCGCAGGGCTCTCGGCCTCCCCCACCCCCAAAGGGTCCGCCCA